TCCATCTATGCTAATATATTACCCCAACACCATGAGTTCATATCACAGTCATAGGGGGCACTGACTGCTGGTCACTCTCCCTGACTGTGGCCACTGCCTGGTGGTCACTCTCTTGGGTCTTGCTGGGCTCCGTTATTACTGTGTTCAGTTCTCGCTGAGTTTAGTTATTGCCGGATTCATTTGTCAATGGGTTTAGTAATCGTTGGGTTTACTCGTCACGGGGTTTAGTTATTACTGGGTTTTGTTGACGCCGGGTTTAGTAGTTGCTGCTGGCACGGGCCAATTGTCAGCGTGGCTAATGCCACCCGGATCCGGGCAGGAGGCTCCGCTCAAGGGGCAGAGCGCCCGGCCGGCACGGCCTCACAGAAAGCCTTCCGGGACAGGCAATGGGGGAAGGAGAGGATGCTGCAGAGCGAAGCCGGGAGGCGACAATGTACAGTACTCACCCGCAGAGGGAAGCTCTTCAGCGGCTTCCTTTCCGGATTCGAGCCGCACGGGAGGGGCCTAACCGTCAACCACGGACGTGGCACAGGGGGCACGCAAGGACGTGGTGACGTCTGAACAGCTGGCACGCGGCAGTCTGGAGAGAGGGGGCGGGGAAATGGGGGGGCGAGGGGCGGGGTTAAGGGAGAACCTGGAAAGTGGGAGGGAGAGAGGTGGAAGAGAGAAACTGGAGTGAAGGAGAGACAGAGAACCCGGGGGGAATAGTGAGAGAGAGAGAGAGAGAGACAAGTGGAAGAGAGAACCTGGAGTGAAGGAGAGAGATAGAGAGAACCAGTAGAGAGAGAGAGAATCTGGAGAGAAAGAGATAGGGAGGAGGAACCAGGAGAGAGAGAGTGTCTGGGGGGCGGCTGTGCTGTGGAAGAGAGAACCTTGAGAGAAGGGATGGAGAGAGAGCGAGAACCTTGAGAGAAGGAAACAGGGAGAGAGAGAACCTGGAGAGAAGGAAGGAAAGAGAGAGAGAGCCTGGCGAGACATAGAGAGAGAGAGAGAGAATGAGAACCTGGAGAGAGAGAGAACTTGGAGAGAAGGAAAGAAAGAGAACCTTGAGAGAAGGAAAGAGAGAGAGAGAACCTGGAGAGACAGAGAGAGAGAGAATGAGAACCTGGAGAAGGAGAGAGAGAAAGAGCTAGGAGAGAAGGAGAGAAAGAGAGAGAACCTGGAGAGAAGGAAAGAAAGAGAACCTGGAGAGAAGGAAACAAAGAGAACCTTGAGAGAAGGAGAGAGAGAGAGAACCTGGAGAGACGGAGACAGAGAGAGATTGAGAACCTGGAGAAGGAGAGAGAGAGAAAGAGACCTAGGAGAGCAGGAGAAAGAGAGAACCAGGAGAGAAGGAGAGACAGAGAGAGAGAGAGAGAACCAGGAGAGAGAGAGAATCTGAAGAGAAGGAAAGAAAGAGAGACCCTTGAGAGAAGGAGAGAGAGAGAGAGAACCTGGAGAGACGGAAACAGAGAGAGTTTGAGAACCTGGAGAAGGAGAGAGAGAGAAAGAGACCGAGGAGAGCAGGAGAAAGAGAGAACCAGGAGAGAGAGAGAGAATCTGGAGAGAAGGAAAACGAGAGAGAGAATCTGAAGAGAAGGAAAGAGAGAGAGAACCTGGAGAGACGGAGAGAGAGAGAACCTGCAGAGAGAACTTGAAGGAGAGAGAGAGAACTAGGAGAGAAGGAGAAAGAGGGAACCTGGAGAGAACGAGAACCTGGAGAGAATGAGGTGGGGGGGAGAGAGAGAGAGAACCTCGAGAGATAGAGACAGAGAGAGAGAACCTGGAGAAGGAGAGAGAGAAAGAGAACTAGGAGAGAAGGAGAGAGAGAACCCTGAGAGAAGGAAAGAGAGAGGGAGAGAGAACCCTGAGAGAAGGAAAGAGGGAGAGAGAGAGAACCCGGAGAGAAGGAAAGAGAGAGGGAGAGCGAACCCGGAGAGAAGGAAAGAGAGAGGGAGAGAGAACCCGGAGAAAAGGAAAGAGAGAGAGAGAGAGAGAGAACCCGGAGAGAAGGAAAGAGAGAGAGAGAGAGAACGCGGAGAGAAGGAAAGAGAGAGGGAGGGAGAACCTGGAGAG